CCGGAATTTTCCTTTAACATATCATGCTCAAAATGGGATAGAAAGAAGTGAAAACTTATTAACTCCTACCCCCATTATCAAATAAATAAATAAAAAGTAAAATGAAAAGAAAGAAAGAGGGTTAGCAGTCAAAGAAAAATTTGTTCCATATCTGCTAGGAAGTTTGTTGGTGGTGGTGGTGGGCGTGAGCGCAGGGAGGATCCATCACACTCATCTGCTCGTTCACCCTACTGGAATTGAGTCAAATTGATGAGATCATGCTGCTGTTGGATGACAGTTAGTATGTACTCCCTTCTCAGCCTTGATGGATCCTCCATCCCTTGTGGAAAATCTGCTCACCATGAAGTCTGGAGGAGCACTGACAGTTTCCTCCTGTAAATCCCCTTTTATACCAAAACACTGGCAATACGCCATTATACAGTAGCTGTAAGATAGAAACCCATTCAGCGGTCTTCTAGAAAAATACATTGATATGCATTGGACATACATTCTTGATAAGTTACTCATAGGTTTTGGATAAACTAGATATTACAACTTATGTGTAACTTACACTTAACGTATGTCAATGATCAAATGAGTATACGCTGGGATATGATGTAATTGCCATATTTCGAAGTGTGCCAGCATGCTTCAGCCTGCTTCAGCGTGTTCATAACTGTCCCATAATCAATATAACGTATTGATGACGTATTGATGACTTTTCACCAATGAGACTTGTCTGACAAGTCTCATTGGTGAAAAGTCTGATTTGATTCCCTTCAGGCATTAGTGTGAATGTAGTCCTTTGTTGAGCATCAGCAAAGATAAAGTCTTATGATTTATAAAGATGCTGTTACGTCTTTTTCTTCTTATTTTAAATCACTTGTGGTGCTGAAATATTAAACCTCACAAAAAAAAAAAGGTGTATTCCTCATCAATGATGGTTTTAAATAAATAGTTTTTAAGTTATACTCAAAATATTTGGTACATTTTGCTGTAATTTATAATACGTGTGCAGGTGATTGAAGCAATAACAAATGTTTTAGGTGGAAGGAAGTGCTTTTATTTAGAAACATTCTAACAGAGAACCAAGAGCCCACCAACTGTCATGATATTGGTACTGAAGACTGGATCGTTAGTGCCTTCCTTTCACCTGCTGAGCTCCACCCAGTTTTCATCTGTCCTCATCAGATCCACCTGTTCCTGCTCTTATTCATCTGCCTGTTTCCAACCATCAGTGCCATGTTATTCGAGCTCTGTGTGAGAGTAACTCTGGTGTTTCTATGTGTTACTGATGACATGATCCTGACAAGTTTCTGCCTTTGGACTTCTGACTTTTGTTTTGTTCCTGTTCTGCTCTGTTTGCCTGATCTGTTTTCGGACTGATTCCTGGATTCTGCCTGCTATATATCCTTGGATCTGTCTCATGACCTCTGCATGGATTCTCCCTACGGATACTTCTGCTCTTCCGTGCCTGCTGGCTTCTGCTCATCAGTGCCCCCTGGAACTCTGGGGATGGCTCCCACTGCATGCTGTGGAGAAACAATCCTCCTGGATTCTACTCCTTCCTCTGGATTCAGTCTGAACTCTTAACCAGTTTCCTGCAATCCTAACCCAGCTGTTAAGCCACTGTTCATTGAACAGGAAATAAACGCTTGCCTGAGAATTCACCCTAATTTTTATGTAATAATGTCTAAATTTCTTCTTTGTCCTGCGTTCTGAGCGCTCTGACATCTACCAAAGTGGGATTTTAGCCTATTACTGTAGCAAATGAAATAGAAGCTGATGCCACAAGAAATCACTTCAATTTACACTTTTACAATCTTTCTTATCTTACGAGTTGTGGTCTTGCCTTTTTTTTTTTTTGGCTTTCATCAGAGCTATATGACAAAAGCTTGCAAGCAAGCTTAACGGGGCATTAGGAAGATTTCTAATGATATTGCCACCCATGGCAAAAACACAGAGAGGGTCAAATAAAGGCTATTATTAAGATATTTTTAAAATAAACCTTAAAAAATTTCACTTTAAACAAGAGGTAACACCTGATAATGTCAATGTTAATTTTTTTTATAAAGAATTTTTAAAATAAAGGGCTCCATTACAGTATCATATACTGGTAAATAAAAATAAATAAATAAAATAGCAAACACAGCAAAACAACAATAAAGTAAATAAGTTGATCTAAATGAAAATAAATGTTCAGAATAACCAATGACCACTAGAGCTTAAGGAGCCGATAGCATCAAGTTGATGAAAAAAAAATACTATTTCCAAAGCTTTAGAGAAAAAAAAAATTAGGTCAGACCACAGGCAGATGAACTGATAAATATCATACACACTTCTTATTTTCACAGTTTCTCTTTATATTCTGCAGTTCCAGTCTTTGTAATTTGATCAAGTAGAACCATATCTGTGGAGCCACACAGGAGCTGAACCTTTTTATTGCTGGATTTAAAGATGGGTCGCATTTTACTCTGTGTTCTGGGCTTATTGTGTAAGTACGTTACGCTTCCCTTTGAATCGTGGTTATAATAGATCATCTTTAAAGTCTGAAGAAAAAAAATCTCTTACTGTAGTATACTGTTCAAATGTTTATACCTTGTACTGTTTTTTTTTTTTTTTTTTTTCTGAGGGCTTAACTTTAAGTCTAGCATTTAGCTGGTTAAGCTTCCCACCTAATATTTATCTAGTTGACCATTTATTTAAAATTATTTGGGCTTAATTAATGCAGTACATATAATTTTTTATTTGGATGGAAACATTACCACATGAATCAACAAATACAGACACCAGTAATTAGACAACAGCGGACTAAAGCCCTGCCATTCACTTTCAAGCTGCTGGTTGGATGATACCAAGTTTAGGAGGATAAAAGGGGGTTACCTTACCAAAAAATACTTATAGAATAGAAAAACACAGGCAGTTCATACCCTTTATTACTTCATGATGTTTAGAATGAGTTTTGGACCTTTAAATTTATTTTTCATATATAAAAAGGCTAGTTGTTGATGTTAATATAACACAAATGTGTTTGTGAGAGCAGGAAGAATGAACTTTAGTTTTACCAACTGTCTTTCTGAAAAAGAAAAAAAAAATCCATTGAACTACAACCGTACCTGCAGACCCCACATTTTAAAAATAGTTCTTCAAAGTAGCCTCTTTCACAGTAACCTTGCTGGCAGAACCTCAGTCACTGAAACTGCAGCTTAGATGCTTGTATGATCTTCTAAGAATGTTATGGGGAGATTGGGGATTGCAATCTTTTGTGTCAAGGTCAGAAATTCTTTACATATAAATCTGTCAGGAACAGAGCTCAACGAGGACCAAGACACAGACAGGACATCTAAACCTAAAATGTAAAAAAGTTTGCTTGGTTTGCTCATTCCAATTCAACATCTTTAAAACAGGCGAATATAAAAATAACAAGTTTAGAAAAGGAGAAATGAAGAGCAGGGTAAGGTAATTTAAAGACAACGTTAAAATGGACTCTAAAAGGATGGGCTGTAACCTCTCAGAACAGAGGGATCCTGTATTCAAGGCAAGACAGACAGCGGGATAACTCAAAAAGCATCTATCAAAATAAACAGGATCTGTAGTAGCAGTAGCTAGGGCGTCCAAGGCAGGAACCTCTACAGGAGAGACACAGGTTAGTGACCATGATAATATGATGGAGGGTGATTACGAATGGTGAGTCACTAACCTGGTTTTACAGTTCAGTGCCTGCCAGGAGAACGAGGATGATTCCAGCCGGTCGGCTGACAAGCCATAGCAGACGCAGCCAGATAGTTCCAGATGCTGAACGCTAGAAGATCACAGAACTGGCAGGAGATCTTATCAAAGCAGGTCATGGAAAACAGGATAATCCAAAGGGCAAAGTGAAGATGCAGGTTCAGTCCAAAGTAGAATCCAACAGGAGTATGAAGACTGGTCAGGCAAACATATCAGACAGGCTCAAAGGTGCAGATACAGAAACAGGTCAGGATAAGGCAACCAGAACATTAAAAGAAACTCCTCGAAAACTCTCACACCAAAGGTTCAAGAATAATGTAGTGCTGACAACTGGAAGCACGCACCTTAAATAGAGGCAGGAGCAGGTGGATCAGATAAGCAGTAATGAAAATCCGGGTAGAGTTAGATAATAAGCCAGTGATCAGCACCAAGATCACGACATGGGCAGACAGTGAAGTTAACTCTAAACTGGTGAAATGTGCTCAGAATTGAGCATCTAAAAGATTAGCTGCAGCACTTTACACCATCAGCAGACATGTTATTAAAGACCTACTGACATCAAAATAAAATGTTTTACAGTAATCCAGGTTTGTGTTCACAGAGGCATTGATTACTGTCTCTGCTGTGAGCCTGGGCTTCAGTGTGGACAGTTTCTAAAGCCAAAAGAAACTTGACCTGATGACCTAATTGATCAATCTGGCTAAAAATAAAATAATTTCCGTTTAAAACACTGATTTGTTGCTGTGGGCTTCAGGTACTGGCCAAGACTCATTGGAAATTTATAGACTAACAGGTGCCTGTCTCTGTAGGAACCTGGGCAAAAGTGGTGGAAACTCAGGCAGCTTATATAAACGCTACTTTTGACCCACTTTACTGGATCTAAAATCTGTGGTGGCTGCTGGAGCTTTCTCTAGGGGGGCTATAAATTCAAAATAGAGGTATACCAAAAACCAATCAAATGTATATTAAGTTATCACACCAGTATATTTATGGTCCAATAAGATGTCACAAACCTAAAAAAAACAAACATAATGTACCAGTTTGATAATGGAGAAGCTGTTAGTCAGCTTTATATATATTTTTTAATATATAAAAACTATTTATTTTCTTAGTAAGTGTTTATTTAAGAGCAACTATGCAAATTAAAAAAACAAGTACACAATATTATATCATTTATTATATTATATAATTTTCCATGTGAATCCCAGATTGTTCATGCTTCTTTGCCTTTTCTAAAAAGTGCTTTAAATAAGCCATTACTGTCTTAATCCAAGCCGGGTCTACGATTTGATTTTTTTTTTCTTGTTTTATTTTTTGCACTGAAGGACAAGTAAAAAAAAAAAGGAAAATTCAGTTTTTTCTTGTAATCCCTTATTTTTGCGAAGTAAAATAAGATATAAGGTACAAAAGCTGTGTAGTCATTGGCCATGGCAAGTGGTTATCATATCAACTTTGTATTTTTATGCATAGATGATCCGCCATATTTGTAGGACAACATCATAACTCGTCTTTCTTTGGATCAAGACTGTATTTCCCAGATAACCTTTGACTTGAAGCCAGTCAAAGCTTATCATAAGTTAACTTAAGTTAGACATAGGTGTTAGAAATAATGTGTCAATAATTTAAATATGAATCCTTCAATTCTCATGTTTTTATATTTATTGGTCCATCTTCTTAAGTAGAAGTTTTTCTCTCTTGGGCTAAAAGGAAGAGAGAAAAAACTCCTACCGAAGTAGATGGGTCATTCTACTCTTCTTGAAAGAAAGAACTTTCTACTTTCCCATTGAAAAATAGGAAAGTAGAAAGGCAGGGAAAGCAGAATAAAGCTTTACCATTTCACTTAGCCAAGCCTTGTAGCTAAACCAGGTCCTGGAAAAAGACAGACTGTACGTCTCCGTCTGTCTTTGGAATACTGAATAATTTTGGTGTTCGGCTGATTAAGTCTAAAGCCCAGCATACACTGTGCGATTTTCGGGGAGATTTTCGAGTCGTGCGAGAATCTTTCAATTGGACCGACTTTCAGCCTGATCGTGCAGCGTGTTTTGTACAGGGGGTTTCGAGGGGCGATCAGCGTCTCACGACCACCTCCCAATCAGGAATCGTGTTTTGATTTTTTCCCGACCATCGTGGGCAAATCGCTCAGGGCGCATGCGCAAAGAGGGATTCTTCTTTTTATTCTTCCTCTCAGATGTAAACACAGCAGCGTGGCAGGGGTGCAATGACTGAATTTTGTCTGTAAAATTGACAGACCGTAGTAGCCACATTTGCTCAGCCATGTCACTGTCTAAATACATTGTCGCCTTTTCTTTCCAGGGCTTTCAGCACAAAATTGCACAAATTGCCAAGGCAGTGCGTTTCACTCTAGTGAGCTTCATATTCCTCTTCTATTTGTTTGGCTTCCGTATAGACGCGTCAGAGCAACTCCATCTCACTGCGGAGCTGAGTCTGACATGGTTTTTAGTCGTACAGTGTGAGCAGGTAGATCGCATGAGAGCGTCAGGCTGAACATAAATCATGAGCTGTGAACTCACACTGTATGATTAAACCCTGCGATTAGTTGCACAGTGTATGCAGTAGCTGCGTGCAGCGATTGAAAAAAATCGCATAGTGTACGCCCGGCTTAAATGCTTTCACCTCGAGCTCTTGGTAAGTTTGCTTCAAGGACTTCACTTCCCGATTCGACCTTTCAATCAGTCACACTACAACTGTAACAACAGTTCCTGCCAAGCTTGGGGCGAAGCTCTCCTGTGCCCTGAGCTCCCCTATCCTTTTGCATTGCAGAGGAGCTACTGCGTATGTACAACTTTTAACGCGAGTCAATGGCTAAAGATTTCTCGACCCAAGGGCAGAAATACGTCACCAATCCGATGACGAACGAACAAGC